TATCTCCTCAAACATAGCTTAGCATTGTTAACCCTTTGATTTGTCACCAGTTAAGCTCCAGAGGATCTCCATGGTCTGAGTTCAATATCCTATTAAAAATGTCAACGCGATATTATTTTTGGGCAAAATAAAAAATTTTTTAAGAGGTCGTCTTCATGCTCACATTTCGGGCCTATTTTTGACGATTTTATTAGTTAAACTCGTATATAGAAAATACAATAAATAATTGCTTTTTTGGCACCACTCCCGATAAAATGTAGTCGACTTCTTGGCAATGTGTTTAGCTTAAACCAAACCAAAAATTTATACTTTTTCTTAACGCTTTAAATCCAGTTATGATTAGATCTGGAAAAACAGTGGCGATGTGAATGAAAATTTTTTTTTTTTTTTTAAACATTTTCCCCAAAAGTCGTCGAAACACAGCAAATTGTTTTGTGATTGAGTACCAATCTACAGATTGGGAATTTCTTTTATAGTTTTATCAGAATCGCGCCAAAACCAAAAAATATTTACAAAAACAAAACCATTAAAGGTAGGCTGTGCATAATCGCAGCGCGTCCAAAGTTCGGGCTCAATATCTCATAAACAAGCACTGTTGCGTTTCTAGTTATATTTTTATTTCGATATTTTCAAATCGCGAGTGTAGACGATTTGTTTCAATCAGTTTTTTTAGACTACTTTTTGGATATTTTTCAAAGCAGTCGCTTTTCTTGAATTTAAAAAGTTAGCGAAACAAAGGACGTGTCTTTTTAAGTCAACATTTATTTCTTTTATTTTTTAAATTACCAAAAAATTTCGTCTATACCTAAATATTATTTTTGCTTTCAAACCAAATTTCGTTATCAAATAATATCTACGAAAGCAAAACAGTCCATACTTCATACCATAACTAACATAACCTGAAGAAGTAAGGAAAGGCTAAGTTCGGGTGTCACCTAACATTTTATACTCTCGCATCAAATACCGTATTTGTGTAAAGTTTTATTCCGCTATCATCATTGGTTCCTAATGAATATATCATACAGAGAACGCATCAGATGGAATTCAAAATAGCGTTATATTGGAAGAAGGCGTGTTTGTGAACCGATTTCACCCATATTTCGTACATGTCATCAGGGTGTTAAGAAACTATTATGTACCGAATTTCAGCGAAAACGGTCCGTAAATGGGCGACGCCACACCCATTTCCAATTAAAAAAAACAAGGATGGGTGCAGCTTCCTTCTGCCATTTCTTGACTAAAATTTAGTGTTTCTGACGTTTTTTGTTAGTCGGTTAACGCACTTTTAGTGATTTTCAACATAACCTTCGTATGGGAGGTGGGCGTGGTTATTATCCGATTTCTTCCGTTTTTGAACTGTATAAGAAAATGCCTGAAGGAAACGACTCTGTAGAGTTGGGTTGACATAGCTATAGTAGTTTCCGAGATATGTAAAAAAAACTTAGTAGGGGGCGGGGCCACGCCCACTTCTACGAAAAAATTACGTCCAAATATGCCCCTCCCTAATGCGATCCTTTGTGCCAAATTT